ATGTTCAAGACACAGGGTCTTTTTGTAGGAGAAGGGGCTAAAGAAGAAATATCTGTTGGACTTCAAAGGTCTGAAGATGTCAAATACAGTATTTTATTCACTCTTGGTTGTAAATTTAAAACAGGATTAGAGCAGATGAATCCTCATCAATATCAACATATTAATGATCAGTGTATTCAGATCTTAAAGTTTAATCAGACCCGTAATTACTTGTGTTCTCAGTTTATTTGAGTAACTAGCACCTGTATGGACATGTGTCAGATATCATGAGCAAAAGAGGCAAATTGGTTGCTTAGATATGAAATGTTAAATTGTGATGAGTGCTGTGAAGGAAGAAAAGGGTAAAGGGGGGCATAGAGTAATACAACGTTTACACAAAGGAACCTGTTATGATTGATGACTTTAAGTTCCATTTCAAGCTAATTTCATCTAAATAAGTTTTTGGGCAGTGTAGAGATTAGAAGGAGAGAGTTGTTGCTTTACACCTATCCATACTTAAGTCCTTTATTTAACACAATGACTGCAGAACATTAGAGTATATTACTGGGCTTGCTGTAGAAAGTGGCTTTTATACCTTTGGTTACCAACTCTGCCTTTTACTTCCTAAATATTTGTATACATTTTTACCTATTCAGAAGTTTTGTACATTTTGATTTTTATTGGGAAACAGGGTTTTATATATATTTTTTCCTTGTGGAGACAGGCTCTTGCCGTGTTGCCCTGGCTGGTCTTAAATGCCTGGCCTCAAGCAATCTTCTTGCCTTGTCCTTCCAAAGTGCTGAGTTGAGAGGTGTGAGCCACCACACCTGTCTAGAGTTGCAATTTTGGTCTTGGAACTATTTTCTAAAGAGGGTACAGAAGAGCATAATGGGTAAATAATGTAATAGCACTTAGTGATTATTCAGGTGTTACTTTAAATTCTGTGTGTACTATTAGTTCATTTAATGTACTTAGAGACAGATAGCTTCAACATTTTAACAAGGAAATAGGTACAGAATGGTAATAACCTCTCCATGGTTACATACATGAGCAGTGATAACTTATGATGAGATAATTTTTACCCTGGCTTTGAAAGAAAGTTGACTTTCACTGTTCTGCTTTAAATCAACATATTAGTCCATTTTCCGTTGCTTAGAATACCTGAAACGGGGTAATTGATTAAAAAGAATTTATTTCTTGCAGTTGTAGAGGCTGAGAAATCCAAGATTGAAGGACTACATGTGAGAACTTTGCTTGTGGGGACTCTGAAGGTTCCCAAGGCAGCACAGGGTATCACATAGGGAGGGGGCTGAGCATGCTAACAAAGTAGCTCAGATCTCCAGTTACCCTGGTGGGAAACTGGGTAATTTATAAAGAAATACATTAATCTGTGAATGGATTAATTCCTTTGTGAGGGAAGAGCCCTCATGATCCAATCACATCTTAAAGACCCCACCTCAGTGCTGTCACATACAGGCTCAAATTTCACCATGAGTTTTGGAGGGGACAAATAAACTATAGCAGCATAGAATTCAAAAGCACTCCTCCTTGTATCCCAGTGTGCTCTAGGGAAAAGCCATGTAGCAGTTATGGTCATGAAGTCTTCTTCCAACATAGAATTTGTTTATATATACAGTTATGCTTGGCTAATGATGGGGATATGTTCTGAGAAATGCATCATGAGGCCATTTCATCCTTTTGTGAATGTCATAGAAATGTACTTGCACAAACCTAGATGGTACAGCCTACTACATACATAGGCTATATGGCATAGCCTGTTGTTCCTAGGCTACAAACTGGTGTGGCATGTTGCTGTGTTAGGCAGTTTTAACTTTTTTTTTAATGAGTTGGTGTGGACTCTAATGACAAAAAGCATAGTATAGTAAATAAGCCAATAAGTTGTTTATTATCCTTATCAAGTCTTATGTACTGTACATAATTGCATGTGCCATACTTTTATATGACTGTGCAGTAGGTTTGTTTATACCACCATCACCACAAACATTAATAATGAATTGAGCTGTGACATTACTAGGCAGTAGGAATGTTTCAGCTCCGTTATAATTTTGTGGGACTACCGTTGTACATGCAATGCTGTGTTGACTGAAATGTTATGTGACTGTAGTTGGGTAACGATTTCTTAGCATTATGTCTGCCCTATATATCCAATCAGTTCAGTCAATCGTCTCCCATCTTCAGTGGAAGGTTTTGTTTTTTGCTTGTTTTAGGAAGGAGGATTTGCATTCAGGAGATCAGGTGTGGTGGCTGTCACCTGTAATCCCAGCACTTTGGGAGGCCAAGGCGGGAGGATTGCTTGAGCCCAAGAGTTCCGGACCAGCCTAGGCAACATATTGAGACACCCTGTCTTTTAAAAAGAATTAAAACAATTAGCTGAGTGGGGTGGTGCACACCTGTAGTCCCAGCTACTCAGGAGGCTGAGGTGAGAGAATCACTTGAGCCTGTGAGATCAAGGCTGCAGTGAGCTGTGATGATGCCACTGCACTATAGCCTGGGCAACAGAGCAAGGCCCTGTCACCAAAAAAAAAAAAAAAAAGTAGCCTTCAAGTATGTTTTTAGGGTCAGTTTTTTCTTTTGAGATCTTATACTCACCATATATAGGTG